AAGAACGACTAAACTCATTAGCAACCGGGTGGCAGTGTGGTCAGAAGATGGAAGTGGTTAGATAGTGTGAGTAGTAATAATAGTGGCGGTGGTGGTGGTGATAGTTAGAAAGTAGGAGATGAAAAAGTGTGAAGTGAAAATAGATGAAGTGTCAATGAAAATGGAAGTTTGGGATTACCGGTTTGCTAGCACCTGGGCCGTGTGAGGAGAACAAGTGCGCGCCCAGGTGGTTCGAGTGTGCCCCCACATGGAGGTCGCTATGATCGTCACTGGCATGCAATAGGAAATTGGAATTGGAGTCATCGGGAGCTAGGTCAAGTGAAAAGGAGCGCCTCAACGGGAACAACTTGAGCATGGTGTTGGCCGGTGCTGGTGTGGCTGGCTGCTGCTCAGGTGACCAGGGCGAAGGGCGGTCTGCTACAGGAACTGAACAGGAGAGAACATTTAAGTGCGAGTTGAGAGGCAGTGGTGGCGGGAGCAGTCCTAGCAATGGCGAACAAGTGTTAGTCGAGGGGAGTAGGGCCACGCGCCGAACAGAGGCTAGTCAATCGGGGCCAGCCTGGCCGGATGACACTGACAGGTTCAGCACTGTGCTGATGCTGCAGTTGCTGCTGCTGCTGCTGCTTATCCTTGTCATGCTCTGGCAGTGTCGGCGCTGTCTCAGGCAGCAAGCTGTCTTCGACTATCCTCTCACCCCACAGTAGAAGGCCACTGGCAATCACTAGTTGACTCAAAGATGGCTGGAGAAGGCTGCCCACTAGTAGATATCGAAGATGGAANGCGCTGTCTCAGGCAGCAAGCTGTCTTCGACTATCCTCTCACCCCACAGTGGAAGGCCACTGGCAATCACTAGTTGACTCAGAGATGGCTGGAGAAGGCTGCCCACTAGTAGATATCGAAGATGGAAAAGAAGAAGAAGAAGAAGAAGAAGAAGTAGCTGAAGAGGCAGTAGAAGGGAGCTGTGTGTGTCTCGGCGATGTGACACTGGGCACGCAGACTGCAACTGCCTAGATGTTAGCCAGCGCAAGAAAGCTAATGCACAGGCCGAAGAGCACAGTGGCTGAGGAGCCTGTCGGTTTGAGGAGTAAGTAAATCGTCTTTTTTCCTTTCTTATACCAAACACACACGCACACACTTTGGTTGGTTGTCAGGAGCCGAGGAGTCAGGCGAGCTGATCAGTGGAACGAGAGTGTCCAGACGAGCAGCGGATGGCAGCAAGTTTTATGGAAGGCAGATACAGCCGAAAGCTGCATTCACTGTCCAGGCGTAAAGGAGATCTGACTAGTTGCTCACTGCTGTTGCTGATGCTGCTGCAGCAGCTGCTGGGAAGTGCTCTGGCGTTAGTGGTCGTGTGCGACACAAAATAGGTGATGGCACTGAATGGCCATAAGTGATAAGGCCTGTACGGTGATCTAGATCGAGCGACAGCACTGCAATGGCAGTGGCTCTGTGCAGTCAGCAGAGATGGTCACTGCTGCCCAGAGAACACTGTCCAATGGCCACTGGCACAGGGACAGACAGTCTTCAGTGGAGAAGGAAAGAAGGACGCCGAAGAAGAAGCACACTCCTTAATGATCTTTGGTAGCTGATGATTCGAAAAGTGGAGAGGGCACTGGAAGAAACTGGCAAACAGGAGAAGAAGAAGAAAAAGTAGAAGTGATTCGAGTGAAGTGTGTGAGAGAAGTGATGAGAAGGCACTTTCAGCACTGCAGCTTCCATCGCCTAATCAGTCTACCGCAAAGACTGGGGAATCGGTGAAAAGTCTGGTCACTGCCGACTGAAGTTGACGGCTCTAAGTAAACAAAAGACACTGTGAAAGTGTGATAGGACAGCTGGCGGCAAGGACCGACAGAGTCGCACGCCCAGACAGACTAGCTCACTCGCTCGCTTGCTCTTATTGCGACAATCTCTCACACTGATGCTCACACACTTCCTCCACCCTTCTTTGCATAGAAGGCAACCAACCAGAAAAAGGCGGTAGAAGAAGGAGGAGGAGGCAGGCTCTGCTCCACACGCTCTCCACCTTATCAACGTATCATATCAGACATTAGAGGGGCATTAGGTTAGACACATCAGAGCACAAAGCATCCTCACCGTATTGTGTAAGCGGTATACCTGTAGCGGGTAAATTCACTCTTCTATAATCAGATAAGGTATCAACCTAGATTGCCATCGAGCGACTGAGCACGATTAGGCTGAATGCGACTTGATGCGGGCATCCATCATCGCTCAGTGGGTTGCCAAGCATCACTGTCATCCTCTTCTCAGTTCTCCAGCAGGGGCAGAGGGTGGTCGAGGTAGAAAGGGACTTGCCAGGACTAAACTTCAGTTTAATTTCACAGTGGACAAAACGGAAGAGAAAGTCGTGGTAGTAGTAGTAATGGAGGTTGACTGCTGGTCACTGCTCAATCAGCGATGATGGCCAATGGAAAAGACAAATGAAAGTCAAAGAGAAGTGGACGTTGCCAGTGGTCAGGTGCCGCTGGGACCGGGTGTCAGCCTGTCGTCGTGATGTTGTTCATCGAGCTCCTCTGGGGCAGCAGCAAAGCATGCTGAAGACACTCGACGAGACGACGAGACGGCGTCGACGACGGCGACGGCAGCGACGGACAGCTGGCTGTGGTAGGGCACACACTGCAGACTGAATATTGCCAGCAACGGCAAAAGCAGCAGTAGCAGCATCGCCTGTTTCACCATCTTCAGGACAGTGTACATCGGCGGTGTACACAGGCACAGAAAGCTGTAATAGCGAGCTGCTTCATAGTCTTCTCTTCTATATTTTCCATGTTGCCTCTCTCTCTCTCATGCTTTCTGTGCTACCACTGACTCTGGACACATTTTAATCTGCTTCTCCCTCAGCAAAAGCAACTCTCAAATCAACAGAAATCGAGATCTGCCGTTGCTGCTGCACACAGCTCGACAGGAGCTGTAAATGGAAGGCTCGAGCCAAGCTGGTCGCCAGCAGAGTGGCGGCACTCTCTGTGTCGCCATATATTCTATATAGCATCATTCGTCACTGTACAGGAGCAAGTATAAGAGCAGGCAGTAATACATGGGCAGAGAAAGAGAGAGGTGCCATCGAAATATACTTTCCATACATTGTCGAAGATATGTGTATAATGCTGCGACTGAAGTCAGCCAGCCAGGGACTGCGAGCTATGTGTGTGTGATCTGACGAACTGTTGAGTGCCACTGCCAGTAGTGCAGCACTGTTGGCCGTCGACTAGCTAACTGCTAACTGAGTTCGAAAACTCAAATATCCGCAACCAATCAGGTACACACAGTGGCCATCGAGCTACTGCTGCTGCTGTTGATGGTCACTGAGCAGTGGAAGGCCCACTTGACGCAGCACTCTTCATGCAACGCACGGCCCAGTAAATGGCACTGAATTTAAATACACACACACACTCTGAAAATGATGATGGGCAATGGCAGCACTTTTTGGTAGCAACGGTGATAAGTCTGCAGAACGTCAACTTGTGGCGATGCAGTGTGCGATAGAGTAGCTCCACTCTGGATGGCAAATATTAACAACTCGCCAGTCAGTGAAGCAGTCGTCAATCGCCGTTGGGCGAATCGCATCGCTCAGCTCTCCTGCACGGGTCTTATCAGTCATCAGCTCTTCGAGATGGCCGAACCTTGTTCGTTTGCCGTCTCTACACCATCGCTCGATCACCATCGTGCCTGAGCGTCTCCGTCGTTTCGACGCAAAGACACACATACACGCACAGATAGACACAAAAAGCGACAGTCAGATTGCAGTTTGGGCAGCAGTGGCAACCACAGCTAATTCTTATCAGCCCTGGGCTGTCTCTGAGTGAACCTCCATTCTAGTGAATACCTACTTTTCTAGTCCAAAGATCAGCTGTCTGCAGAATTGATTCAGGGGGACTTTGATCCATCGGCGGGAGCAGTGTCACTGCCAGAGCAACATGTGCCTTCTTCTGCCTGCAATGGAGAAAACGGCCACTTTGCGCATCCACTGATGCATCGCTCAGGCGCCTGGCTGGCAACAGACGAGTGAGATCCCCAAACTGGTCACTTGAGTTGTCTCGTGTTTGGCTGAGGAGGCAATGATGGCTTATGGCTGCTCTCTCCACCACTACTGCTCGATTGCTTGGGTTGCCTTGGTGAGCAACGCCACTTGCCGCATTGAGGTTGCTCTGTGGACAGCCAATCAACCAACTAATGCCAGCACTTTGGGTCCGAAGAAGAAGATGAGGAGGAAGAAGAAGAAGAAGGCCGCAGAGTGACGGCGAACAGTGGCACCAATATCAAGTGAAGTGGCTGATGATGAGGCAGATCACGCGCTGTGACTGCTTTCTGTTTGACGCCTTCGAGAGACTTCTTCTTATCAAGGTCCTCTGCCGCTCCACTTGAGGAGCCACCGAAGCAGCAGCAGCAGCAGCAGAAAGAGCACACGAGTGATCAGCAGCAACAGTGTCCCTCACTAAGGCGATGCTTAGCTGAGCTGTGTTGAGTTGTGAGCCAGGCCACGACCGAGTTGACATCTGTTACTGGACAAGACAAGCACTGCAGTGTTAGTGAATTGCAAATTGGTGACGGCGCTAAGGTGATGCAGCATCACCAGCGCCAGCCAGAGGTAACCAGTAGTGTCAGCCTAGCCAGTTAGCAGTAATCATTTTATTAGCAGTTCTGGCGGTGTGCCGGTAAAGGTCTAAGCTTTAATTAGATGTATAAATAGATTATAAAAACAATTACAATTTAGGCAATAGACAAAAGCTAAGCATTTCAGCATATAAAGCAGGTATTCCTCTCCTCTTCAGGCAAGTATTTAACATGAATTAAATTGACAATTTTAATAATGTATAAATCATAGCAGAATTAAACTCGCTTCCAATTCTCATGGTAGTAACACGAAGCGACCGATGGTATGATTCTTGTTTGTGAAATATAATAAATGTGCCGCAGCAGCAGTGCATCAACAATTACGCCTGCCTTCTCGCCTCTTCTCACTCTGGTGTGCTGTTCGCCAGGCACTAAGCCTGGCAACAGTTGCTCCTGTTCTTGCGTTCCGCGTTGTCGGTTGGAGGAATGGTGATGGGTCTGATGTTGTCGGCAGAGGGGGACGTTTCATCTCCATTGTCGTTGCGGATCTGCTTTTGGGAGACTATTCGGTAGATTTCGGTCAGGATTTGTTGAAATGCGGCTTCTACGTTCGTGGAGTCCAGAGCAGAAGTCTCGATGAAAGAGAGATTATTTCTTTCTGCAATTCAACCAGAAGATTACACATTAAAGCACCAGAAGAGGTAAAAGTTGTGCACTGTGAGCACTTACCAGCAAAAGCTCGGGCTTCGTCAGTAGGCACGGCACGGAGATGGCGTAGATCGCTCTTATTTCCCACTAGCATTATCACAATATTCTGGTCGGCGTGATCTCGTAGCTCGCGAAGCCATCTTTCGACATTCTCGTAAGTAAGATGTTTGGCAATGTCGTAGACGAGCAAAGCGCCCACTGCGCCTCGGTAGTATGCGCTGGTGATGGCGCGGTACCGTTCCTGACCGGCGGTGTCCCAAATTTGAGCCTTGATGGTCTTGTTGTCCACCTGAATGCTGCGGGTGGCAAACTCGACGCCAATCGTAGATTTGCTCTCCAAATTAAATTCATTTCGAGTAAATCTTGACAGCAGGTTACTCTTTCCGACGCCAGAATCACCAATCAAAACAACTGAAAAGAAAAGAAGAAAGTAGAGAAGGAGAGTTAGTGAGTGGGTGGTAATGTGACGGCGGCTTCAAGTGAAAGGTGGCGTTCACCGTTCACAGCAGCAATGTATGTGTGTATCCTCTCGCCAGTCATGAGAAAATAAGAGATGAAGAGACGGCTGAGGAACCATGCGTACCTTTAAACAAGTAATCGTACTCGTCATCTTTGGAGCCCATGTTTCAGGTAGTTGAGAAAGCTCGGCTTGATCGGCGGCGGTGGCGGAGACGAATGGGTACTCGGCAGAGTGAGACGAAACGGCTGGACGGGAGGAAGAGAAAGAGAAGAGTGTCAAATAGGAGCGCGATGGTCGAGGACAAGCAGTGATCAGCTTGGCAAACAGTTGTTTAGCAAACGGCTACAGAGCCTGAGTCACAGACAATACATACACAGACAATTACACAGCCAGTGAGAGTGAGACACAGACCGACACACACTACACCCACTGGCCACAAGTGACGTATCAAGTCAGTCGCTGCGTTGGGCTACCTTTCGCAGATACAGCGCCGCAGACCAGCAGACCTCGGCTTTGGTGCTGGCGACGGGCGACGCAGACGGCTCGGATGGCGGCTGTGATGATAACCAGGCTAGGCCGATGGCGGCCAGGTGATGATAGGAGAGAGAGAGAGAGCGAGAGAGAGAACGGAGTGAACGCAGCGACGGCGCGATCTTCGGCTAAATTGGCCAACGAGTGCTGCTCACGATGCGATGACGCCCCGAGCGATGTGATTCGGGGGCGGGGCCATGGGCATCGACTGATTACTGGCACGGCAGATGGCGCCTTAGGAGAATTGTGGTTTCGGGGAAATATCTTCAAAAGATCTTCAATTTGACGCCCGAATCGGGTGTCCTCAGCTGGCAAACAGTAAGTTGCATGCTGACCATATTTTCACTCACATTTTTCAGTTATTTTTTAAATCTACAAGTTAGAGAGCAGACGGCATTTGTAGATATTTATTTGCCATGGGATAGAATGGCAAAGATTCTACAGGCGTGCATTATTAGGAGCTGAGTTGGCGAAGCTGCTGATAAGGAGTACCTACGCCTGGTGGTGATTACGATAAGGTCAAAGTCAGATTAACTGATGACGATGCCATTTGTTACTACGTGACAACGGCTACTCTGTCCTGCCCCTTCCAATGAAATGACTGTCAGATGAGTAACATCTGAGGACTACTACGACTCGTAGTGGCGGTGAACACTCATGAGATTGTTACCTGATAAAATAAAATGATAAACTCCAAATTACCGCTTTTAGACGTTTCTGTAAGACTCATTTGGGTTCATTGATGATTGTAAAGTTGTAAAATATTGAAAAGAAACTTGTCGAGAAGTTGCGCGCTCAGGCAACTTTCTTGGCTAAATCCACCCCGAAGGTTCAGCCTAGTGCCACCAGAAACAAAAGGAGCACATTTTTACTTTGCGGATTTATTTTGTGTGATTTCATCTGTTTGGATCATTTCACTACAAACTGCGACTTTCTCTTTGACATTTCTTCACGTTACGTTACCTGATACGACCAACTCTTCTGAGCCATGGCTGACCTGAACGACGACAGCATTAACTTGCGAGCACTGCGAAAGATTGACAACCAAATTGGCGAAATTTTGTACAGCGCCGGTCAAGTGGCCATTTACTACTACAACATTGACGAAGTTAATAGTGTCGATACAAATGGCGGCGATGGCCCAGACAATGATGGAAAGTGGCAGCGCAAAGAAATCGAAGGAGCGCTCTTTTTCGTACGACGTCTCTCCCAGCCGGAGTTTGCATTTGTTGTCGTCAACAAGCTGAATACCATAAATCTTGTACAAAAAATCACAAAGGATCTCGAAACTAGTGTTCAACTGCCCTATCTCATGTACAAAAACACCGAAAGTGAAATTTACTGCGTCTGGTTCTATGATAGAGACCAGTGTTCTATTCTGAACCAGAAAATCGTTGAGGTGATTGATAAGATGAAAACCATTGAGACGAACAACTTTAACGGCATCAAGTCCGTTCCGAACCACAACCCTGCGCAGTCTGACCTTCTCAAAAAGATGCTGAGCATGGAAATTGCTCCCAAAATAGCCCCTCGACCTGCACCGCAGATTGATTCCCAAATCGATTCTCAAATCGCACCAAAAGTTCCGAACATTGCCCCGCAAGCGGCCCTGCAAGTGGCTCAGCAGATCGTTCCGCAGGTCGCTCCTCAAATCGTTCCACAAATGGTCCCTCAAATTGTTCCAACAACTACCAACAACATCTCTGTTCACAAGGGCAAAGACTCGGAGCACCCATTGTACCTGTCAATGGAGCAGCTGAAGAAGACGCTTGTGTATCTGCTCCAAAACGATGCAGACTTTTTGCACACCATTCACACCACTTATGTTGACGCCATCAAAAAGTAACCATTCAAGACGATGCACACACACGAACAGATTCAACATGCATTTAAATACACTATCCATTACTTAGTTTTTAATATAACACCCACCACACACTCACATACTGAACTCTATTACAAGACAAAATGATAATGAAGTAAAGTTTTTAATTCCTCATTTACTGTGGTTTGGGTTTAACGCTGAAAAAGCCACTGGTGTTACTAAAGTACTTTGCATTGGCTTCATTGACCTTCTTCTCAGCAGCAAGTGGGTTGTTGATTTCCAGGCCTTGTTTCGGCGTGAAGGCAATCGACGAGGCCGTTCCCGAGACGTGCTTGCGCACCGTTGTTGTGCCTCCATATGTGTTTTGCTTTTGCAGATTCTTTTGAAGGGTTTTGGAAATGCGCACTTTAGTCTTCTCGTCCACCTGCGGAGCTCGAATACGCCCGTGTGCGGATTTGCCCATCTGACCAGTGGAAAAACCCAGGTCATTCTGATAAGCGTCGTCCTCAATTTCACCGAAATTCAGGCGATTAGCTTGCTTGCGAAGATCAGTGATCATTAGTCGCTCTTTCAGTTTTCGAACTCGCTTGCCGCCTCGTTTCTTCTGTGGTTGATCGATTGGCGCAGGCAGCGCTTTCACCTGCTTCACCGGTGGTGGCTCCTGGAGTTTGTCTAGCTTTCGTTCGATTTCTGCGCGAAACTGACGACCCATTGAGCCATCAGGATAGGAATGACGAGCATCAACTCGAGCAGCCAGAGTGCACTTGTTGGCCACCTGAGTGGCTGCTTCTTTGCGAAAATCTGGCGGTGTGTTTTGAACGAGTTCAGAGTAAAATACAAAGCCAGTGTTCGGCATGATGTTGGTAGTGGAAAAGCCAGCCAGGGTCTTTCGTGTTGAGCCCAAGGTTTTGACGTTACATGAGGGCATTTTCGATAAGTTTGTCAGTCCACCCGCCAGACCCATTAGCTTGGCGGCAATAGAAGCTCCGGTAATGGCTATAAACAAACACAATACAAGATTGAAAACACAAAAATATTATAAATATAAATGTCAACTTACCGGTGATATTCGGAGCAATAAAACTCATTCGTGATTCGACAAACTGGTAAATCTTCAGTTTACATTGATTAATTTCAATAGCTACATTACACGCATCCAGTATGTAGTTCAATTCATCCTCTGACAGATTGGTTCCTTGTGTTGTAGAGGCAGTCACTCTGACAACCATAATCGTCGCTTGCGTCAGAAACTGCTGCAAGTTTTCATTGTTTTTCACATTATCGAGATTATTGCCCAGCTCTTTCACTGTCATCAGGTAGTCCAAGGCGTTTGGAACCAGCGATTCGAGTTCGGGGAAACGCTTCGCATACTTGTCACGCACGAATTTGTGACAAACGTTGATGTCGTTGTCAATTGACACTGCTAGAGTGTTTGCTTCGACGACGAGCTTGTACTCAGGATGAGACTCAACTGGGCCGTCAATTTGACATTTTGTAAAGGAAACTAGGTAAAAAAGAAGTGCAAGTTAGTTGGAATCTATTCAACTTTTTGATCATCCAACCTACCTTCCCCACTGCTTTGGCGAGCACTGACCTCGGTCATTACACGCTTCAGCTCTTCGCTGTCAATTATTGTGGCCAAGTTCCGAACTGAAGTGTACTGCTTCTGGGTGGACTCCGCCTGGCCATCCACCAGCACCGGCTCTGCCTCAAAGTCCTCTTCTTCCAGCACATCATCGTCTTCCAAATCGGCCAACAGTTCATCAGCTAGTGACATGTTTAAAAACGTGAAACTTGTCCAACCTTAAAAGTAACTTACAACTTCAGGGAGCCGTCAGTGGACTTGACAAAATGGGCAATTCTAAGCTGGAGTTTACACAAAATCACAATAACAATAACAACAACCAGCTTTTCTGGCCGGCTGTCGCATAGGGTCCCCTTCACATACAACGACTCTCTGACCATTCCTTTTCCCTCTCTCCAAACTTCGCATCCCCTGTGAACGGAGATGGATGCAGTGAAATGATCACTGCAGATGATGCAAACTGTGAGCTGTGATTGCAGTGCACAGCACACTTGAACACTATACCCCAGGGTTGACAAGTGCGCCACTGCCGCTTGGCAACAGCCGATGACACTTTGTCGGTGGTCAGTGGCCTGATGGATAGCATAGATTGCAAGTGGTGACTGCAAATCACCAACTGACGCGAAGAGCGGCAAACTAGTTCTTCCCCAGCTGCCCAGTGCCAACTTTATCTTTGTTCTTAGCTTTTATTTACTTAAATCAGGATACAAAAATTTAGAAGCAAACTGAAGGAGCATAATAGTGTAGTCAAAAGAAAGTGAATAATTGCAGTGTTCGAATAAAAGCTAAGGAATGTGTGGTTAAAGAATAATAAGGTAGGTTATATAGTATATAATTGCATTTAGTATAAGAGTAGGTGCTATCGGCTATTCATTCATCAAGTAATAACATGTCAAGAGCATTGGTTATGTGAAGTGTTGGGAGTAGGAGTTGGTTAGGATGTTGGTTCTGTGGAGCCAGTGGAGGTGGTGGTGTTGGTAGTGTTCGGAATTAAACAATCTGCGATTACTCGATGTTGCAGGCCATGTACAGCATGTCATCAGGAGCATCATCAGGGATTGCCTCATGTCCAGGTGGTAAAAGTTCAAAGCCAATAAAGCTGAAGAGGCGAATCAGAATGTCTGAGAAAGTGGAGGAAAATGGTTAATCAGGATAGAGGTACACTTTCATCCGACGGTTACTTACTTTTGTTGGACTTGGCCTTGTCGAAGTAGACAATGACCTTTTTGCAGCATAGTTCTTCTTCGGCAAACTCCAACAGTGCAATAAATGCCTCCTTTGAGTTGTCAGTAGTGTTGTTTGGTATATGCACGAAAAGCTCCTCTTTGAACAGAATTGAGTCCCACTGAGCGGTCAACGAGTCGAGGAGCGTGATTTTGAGTGTAATTTTAATTGCCTGATGACGCGACTGCTTAGCAAGCTCGCCAATAGTTGGAGGGGCGAGCTTCGAACTGACCGAATCCTCGTTGACAGTTATTACCGATGAATGGCGATGCAATGTGATTCCATTGTTAGGGACATCAGGAGCACCTGAAAAGTGGGCAGAGATTAGTACAGTTAGGGTAAAAGGTCAAACAGCAAAGAGCTTACCACAGGGGTCCTGCACCCAGCGAAACGCAGTAGTGGCGCAAGGGCGCGAAGCTACTGAGACTACTAAAGTTACTGCAAGTGGAAGGGAACAAAGTTAATGTTTTAGATGATAGTGAACAACCAAAGTATGCGTTGGCGCAACATCAAAACAAGAAGGTGCCAGTTCAGTTGGGCGCATCATGCCAAGTATTCCTGATGGTGTTTACGCGAAGTAGTATGGAGATGTGCTGATATTAACTGGCTGATATAAAACCACTCGCTTGGGGTCAAAGTCTTGCCAGCACTATCCAGCTACCGCCAGAGCTGCGTGATAAAATTACACTCTGTGCACGACCTTCAAGCACACACACTTGGTCACACGGTACGGGTGTGGAGGATTACTTGTACACTTTGATTTTGTGTTTGTGATTAAACCTATCCTGAAGTGCACAAAGAAAGTGCTTTCTAATCTTTAACTACGCAACTTGGTCGCAAAATAACTGTAAATAATAACGGATGAGGATACATTGGAAACATAGGCTAGCTAAACTGCTACTTTTGCAGACTTTCTGCCCCCAAAGAAGAATCACAGCACAAAACTAGTCAGAATTTAGCGAAAGTATTGCTTACGCCAGCAGACTGCGAGGATGCAGCGCTGCCTGGCAAGAGGAGCCACAACAGAGAGGCACCTGGACACCACAAACACATAAACACAGAGAGACTTACCTCAACTCGTAGAGATTACTACTGGTTAACGCAGGCATTGTTTCTTGAAGTTTTAACGTGGTTTGGGGGTCAAAAGAGGCTAAACCTGGAAGGAGAAGATCAAGGTGAGTTGCAGGGTAAGGTGGGTTGAGTGCCAAGTCTGGGCTCGGGTGGAACGCTACTCACCGACTTTAATCATACCGAAGAGCTTGTGAGCAGGAGAGTGAATGACTGCGAGTGCGTCACATCATCCAGTCGACATCAGATTTCTCGAGAAAGATCATCACGCACACCAGCAGCAGTGGTGGCGCCCCTACTCTTCACAGTGCCACTGCCACACTTCTACAGGAGGCAATCCGCACTGCCAAACCGTACAGTGGGAGGAGCCCTGCTCACACTAATTAAACAATTAATTGTTTTGAAATATTGACTGGTTATATGTCATTTTCTAATGTACAAAATGTTTCCGGTCCACTACACCATTCTGAATGCTGCTGGTTTCTTAGCTTTTAATTTATGTTCTTTGGAATTTTTGTCTGAGAAAGCTGACTGTATTTTCAACCGCGGCCCTTTAACACACTGGTAGTAGTGATTTGGTATATGACGTCAAACGTCGCTGTACAAACTGATTTTTTTCTTACCATATGGCTGTGATTGTTGTTGTTGTTTTCTGCCGTGAGCTCACACTTTGAAAACACGGCAATTGCTTTCACCAACTGATTCAGAATTTTAAAAAACCTATAATACTATGGCGGAACGAAAGGCCACCAACAAGTACTACCCTCCCGAATGGAACCCATCAAAGGGCTCGATAAACACCTTCAAAGGCAGTCACCCGCTACGAGAGCGAGCCCGAAAACTTGATCAAGGAATCCTGGTAGTTCGTTTCGAGCTACCGTACAACATCTGGTGTGATGGCTGCAATAACCACATTGGCATGGGCGTCCGCTACAATGCTGAAAAGTCAAAAGTGGGCATGTACCACTCGACGCCGGTGTTCCAGTTCCGATGTAAATGCCACCTCTGTGATAGCTACTTTGTCTTGAAGACTGATCCTCAAAATTTAGACTACATTGTTGAAAGTGGAGCTCGGCGACAGGAGCGCAGGTGGGATCCAGTGGAGAACGAGCAAATAGAAGTCGACAAGGCAATCAAGAAAAGAATATCTTTAGATCCGATGTTTAAACTTGAACATGATGTGGTTGACAAAGCGAAAGCTGCTACCAACAAGAGTGCTATAGAAAACTTGGAGCACTTTCAAGAAGATAGGTGGAAAGATGACTACTCTAGCAATTGTGACGTCCGAAAACTATTTCGAACCGAGAAGAAGCAGCTGAAAGATATTGCCAGAAAAGAAAGTGCCTTACTTCAGCGATCCTCACTGCCAATTAGCCTGAACCTGGCCGCCGAAACGTCTTCTGACGTAAAACTGGCCAAGTTGGCAAGTCTCCAGTCGAAGCATTCTTTTGAACAGAATCGCCTTCTTAAGAGGCGGGATATAATGAAGCAATCCATATTTGACAATTCAAAACGCAGTCGATTAAAACTCTTTTCCAGGTCTTCATCTACCACAACGCCCCTCTCCGCCTCATCGCTAAAGGCTGCCATTCAAGTGTCAACGAAGAAATGCAGACAAATACCCTCCTCTACTATTGTACCCGACTATTCTAGTGATTCTGATTAAAAAATTAAACAAAACAGTATTACTGAAAATACATTATATTGAAACAGTGTAGAAGCATTCCTGAGATTAGAGGATATAATACAAATAAAAAATGGTAGTCTATGAGAAAGAGAGCATTGAAGGTTAAGTATTGAGGCATGAAGAGACCAAATGTCAAGTCGGAAGAATAAAGTTAAACTCATAGGTTGACAAGATGAAGGAGAGACTTAGATCAGTGGAAGTGCTTTTTCAGTGACTGGAAAATGCATTAGAGTCTGCACTGGAAGCTGTCATTGTCGAAGCTCCATTTGACGCTGAATTCTGATGCTTTCTGAAGTGAAGCTCCAAGTTATGCTTCCAGTAGCTGGCGTAATTACAATCGCTAAACGTACATCGAAAGTTTTTTTCTCCGTGCATCAATGAGTGCTGCTTTAGTGCCATTTTGTACGCGAATGATTTGCCTACAAATAAAAGTAGAGCAATTAGAATCGTGCGGTAAGTCCAACTACTCCAGCGACACTTACCACAGTGAAGGCAAATATGCTTCAGAAGATTGCTGCTAGCACTCTTGGAAATGCGACTAGTTTTGCTGCTTTTGCCGTTGGTTGAGATTTCGTGATTAGAAAGTTCCTGTAATGAGTGTGACACATTTTGCTGCTGCTGTTGCTGTGCCTCTTCCTTAAGTGGACTTTCGGCATGCATTTCAAACTCGGAGCGATCAGAATTGAGCAAAATCATGTGGTGCTGCTGCTCTTGAAAGTTCTGCTGTTGTTGATGACCGTTGTTCAGAATCTCCTCGCAGCTACCATCAAATGATGACTCTGATTTGATGAATTTAGAGCCATCCGCACGATGAAACCTCTTTTCATGAAAGTTTCGTGAGCTTGACTGCGTGAATGTGCGATTGCAACCACTGATTGAACACTTAAAGGGCTTTTCACCTGAATGACTTCGGCGATGTGCTTCGAGGTAGTGTTTGTTAAAGTATTTTGAGCATATGTCGCAACGGGCCATTTTCTTGAACGGAAATGAGCCGTTCTGATGGTTCTGTCGCGTAACATTTCCTCCTTCAATATTGCCTTCATGAGTGCTGGTGCTGTGGCTACTTCCAGCAAAGGGACTGTCGCTGTACTCCAACACCTCCAATTCCATTTGAGGTACATAGAGGAACTCTTCCTTGACTTTATCATCAGTGAGGTTGTTTGACATGAGTGTTTGACTGAAGGTCGCCAAATTATTATGCTGGTTACGGAGATGTTCCTCAAGAAGACTCTTTGAACTAAACTCCTCTGAGCATTCATAGTGATTGCACCGAAATTTGGTAAAAGAGGAAATGTTCGGCAGTGGACGTGACTCGGACACATTTGACTGTAGACTAGTTGAGGGGTCAAGCGTAGTTGAAAGTAGTCTCAGCTGTTCTTTGAACAGATTCTCTTCATTATCTGGTTTGTGGGGAGACAAATCAATTGGCTAGATAAATCAAGCAAACAAAAAACAATTTCATGTTTTGGGTGCTCACCGGAAATTCTGGCTTGAGAAACCTGTATGGTTTCGGTCAAGTTATGAATTATTTTGTCAAATTTTATGATGTTGCTTTCGTGTACGGACTTGTCGTTGAGGTAGGCGTTGAAGAGGACATTTTCTTTGCTGATGGTAAAAACCTTTTCCACGTAGGTCTGCATGTGGTACAGATAGTTCCGTATTTTGACATGTCGCTCGGTGAGTGCTATCAGTAGCTCCTTATAATTGCCCTGCTGCGAAAGCAGCATCTTATTTAGTTCTTCCATTTCCCGTCACTGATTCTGGCCTGGTGACCCACCGAGGTAACAGTAGGGCAATGTGAACAGTTGAGTGGGTGGCATCCAGACGGGCGTCTGCACACTCTTCCAACCCGTCTCGTNTCTTTGCTGATGGTAAAAACCTTTTCCACGTAGGTCTGCATGTGGTACAGATAGTTCCGTATTTTGACATGTCGCTCGGTGAGTGCTATCAGTAGCTCCTTATAATTGCCCTGCTGCGAAAGCAGCATCTTATTTAGTTCTTCCATTTCCCGTCACCGATTCTGGCCTGGTGACCCACCGAGGTAACAGTAGGGCAATGTGAACAGTTGGGTGGGTGGCATCCAGACGGGCGTCTGCACACTCTTCCAACCCGTCTCGCGTCTTCAGCAGATTCCGAATCCCAAGTGTCAGGTCGACAAACTCTGCCAATGTTTTGTATTTGCCTCGCGAGTCGCGACTATTTTGAACATAACTGCATATTCCACAGTCGGCTCACTTCACTTTCAAATTGCTGTGCATCGGCTTTTTATGTTATTGATTACATCATTCCCAGAATACTGAATCTGATATTGTTGGAAGAATACAATATGTCTGCCATTGTAGAGAAAGCACCCTTACCGGGGCCTCTCACAGCATTGTCACCACCAGCTGACACATTCTACCTTGACCAGTTCAAGAACGGCATCTCAGTGGGCATACAGCCGGTCACTAAAAACCGACTTGTTTTTGGCCGAGCACCAGACTGTGATATCCAGTTGGAACATCCCTCCATTTCCCGATATCATGCAGCAGTGTTGTGGTCTCCTAAAAACGACGATGCCTATCAAAAGGGTTTGTTTACAGCTGCTGCTGCAACAGTTTGTCAAAAAGTAACGCTCATCTTTTGTTTACAGGCGAGGATACTACATCATTCTGGTACCTTGTCGATTGCGGCTCAACACATGGCACTGTGTGTAATAAAGTGAAAGTGGACACTGGAAAGATGATCAAACTCAGTCCCAACAATAATGTCATCAAGTTCGGTGCTTCGACGCGCTTCTTCATCTTAGGCTCTAAAGAAGAGGAGGAAAATGACGACGACGATGACGAGCCAAACTCAGTGGGTATTCCCCATGATGCAGACAAAGACAGTGCTGTCGATGAGGGCTGCACTTGGGGAATGCAATTTGCAGAATGTGATGGCGAAGAAGAAGAGACCGGAGATAGTATGGCCTTAAAGTCAATCATTTCGGCAATGAAAGGCGGTGAAAAAATAGAGTCTGCCAATCAAAACGCTTACTCTGAAAATCCATACAGATGCATACAGCAGTGGTTTGAACGGGAAGGACACCACTTTGATTTCAAAGTGGAAACGATCAACACCAAGTTCAAGTGTAACTTTGAGTTGCCCATCGATGGTCAGTGGGTTTCCATCGAAGGGGAACTTGCAAACAGGGTAAGCTCTTTTGAATCATTGATTGTGTCAACTACAATTTGCTAAACTGCTGTTTTTCTTTATATTTCAGAAAAAGGACGCTATTAACAATGCCTGCTCAAAGTGCTGCAGTATTTTGGATCATGCTCAGCTGTTGTTTCCCTGGCAAAAGCAAAATGCCAAAAGCTCAAGGAAATCTGATTTATATGACAATGAGGATGGGTTTGACTTAATCGATGAAACAGTTGGCAGTAGTAAAAAGAAGCAAAAGAAGAGCCATGAAACTGAAACAATTGACAATTATGAGACTCTGAATGCAAAGTGGAAAACGAAAAATGAAGAACTCTGTAAATTGAAAGTCAGGCTGGCCACCATTGGACTTGAGCCTGGAACTAAACCCGAAGTATCGACTGATATAACTGATTCACTCGATGCCTACTTGGCGGAAATGAACAAGAAAAAGTTTGGTTTGAGTCTCAATGAAAAAATTGAAAAATCTAACTTGCGGATACAAATTAAGCAGCTCGAAATGGAACAAAGTAACCTTGAAAAATTAATTAAAATCGCAAAACCACCTGAAGTTAAAATTCCAACTGCTCGAAAACCAGAACCCCCAGCAAAAGTGGAGCCCAGCAGTCCAAAAGCAGTTACTACTCTCAGTGAAAGTGTTGACGCTCCAAGTAACACCTCAGACATCAAATCAGAAAGCAACCTGTCTCCAGTAGTTGCTGTTGAGCAATCAGCACCAGCAGTGGAAGCCACCAGTGAAGTCAACACTGATAAGAATGATAAGGTTGATGAGCCGTCTTTGTTATCACATCACGCGACAGGTCAGATGAAACCACCCACTGAGAGGGTGAAAGTTTCTGCAAAGCAAGTTCGAAAACAACGACAAGAGAGCATTGTCGAAGCTATTGAGAAGGAGAAGAAGCTGGAAAAGGAGAGAGTATTTGTTTCGCCCGAAAGCGAGAGCGACTTTATCGGGTGGCTGCCACCAAAGAACCAATCAGGTGATGGCAAGACGCACCTCAACGACAAGTACGGCTATTAGGCTGAACGGCAACAATTGAAACAATTGTCAAATGGCCACTTTGCATCGAGAAACTGGCTTTTCGCACCATTGATTTACTACCGTCATCGGCAACTTCGGTTTGCCTCATTATTTCACGCACTTAGTGACAACGTCAACTGTCCCCTCTCTCTGCACAGTGGTCAATTACGTTTTTTGTTGTACAAAATAGGAAGCAAAGAAAGCCATGCATTTTTTCTCCTCCTTCTCCTCCTCACTGCCTCTTCTGAGCAAGCAGTTGTTTTTTGGTGTTCAGGGCAAGTGGCGCCTAGAGTTGAAAGTCCACGTAGCGGTCGAGTGGGCAGTGTAAGCGTGTCAGCGAGTGCTTCAGTGCATAACGGGCAGTGTAGGCACACGGCAAACGTAGACGAAGACGAAACTGGCCAAGTGCGCCAATTCGAGCCAGTTTGACGTTGAGGAGGCAGTAAGGCGCCAGTAAGTGCTCGAAGAGAGCTCGGCAACAGGAGCGGTGGCAAGAGCAGTGGCGGAAAACTGGAGAAGGAAAGAGAGAAAGAGAAAAGAAGGGAGCCAGAAGTGAGCAGCAGCAACGGCGGCGGCGGCGGCTGTCTACTGTTCCATGACCGCATGTTGTTCGGCGCTCGGACCAGTGAAGTGTAGTGCTCAGTCCGAGTGCTGGCAATAGAGCTGTGAGTGAACAGTTCAGTTCAGTGCCGCATCCAGTGTCAGCAGTCTTGAAACACAGGTCGGAGTCATCACACACTCTCCAAGACACTCTTCAAGAGACAGTCTTGGCGCCCACAGCTGGTGGTGACCACTCTTGAGTGCCATTGCATTGTTCCACCAGGCATGTTCGGCTTGCATTAATTCTTCGATTGTTTGCCGCCACCGCCACCACCACCACCACCACTTTCAACTCCACCGCAACGTCCATCCTTCGCCTTCATCTCGCCTCCTCATCTTGCTCTTCACCTGATGTGTCTCAGTAATCATCAATCATTACCAAGTGAGTGAGGCACTGTGCAACACTGTGTCTGTGCCACCTACCAATCAGTGGTCATACACACACACACGCACATTTGTTTGTGTTCCTCTTCTAAAGTGTGTTTGTGCAACTGTGGCTTCTGCCGTTTAGCTTCAGACGGCGACGACGACGACCAGAGCTGCAGTAGTAGCTGGCCAGCAGAAGCAGCAAATCGGTCGCCGACGATCTCTACCGTGGTTGGCATTGTTCAGCAGTTCAACAATTTTTTTGACTATCAGCAGAGGCAGCCACTGAACAAAAATTGGCCTAAAGCAGTTGAGAGCTGTTGGCGAGCAGCAACAAAAAAACCCAAGGAGGAAAAGAGTGCTGTCAATTTGGGACAAATCGTCGCTGTCACTGTCTGCAACTCGCCAAATCGTCACACGTACTTCGAAGACACACACTACTACAACTATTTGCTCCGATTCGATCTGCTGTCTAGTCTACACAAACTCTCTCTCACACTCTCATCACCGGCGGACACTGGCGCCAGACGACATTACTCTTTGCCTCTTTAACCCATCGACCACCATCGATCACTGGCACTGATCAGCCTGCACTGAGCTGAACTGCACACTGCTCATCATCGTCATCATGTCCATCGAAGAGCAGTTTAACGCCGCCGTTAAGGTGATTCGCTCGCTTCCCAAAAATGGCAAGTTTTTTTCTTTTTACAGGGCAGCACATTTCTCTTCAGTAGTCCACAGTAGCTCTAGTGCCCACCTGACTAGTGTGCAGTCACTGCCATTGCCATTGCCACTCGCAAAAAGTTGACACATTTTGCGTCATTTTCCCCTCTCAGGTTCCTTTCAGCCTTCCGACGAGCTTAAGCTTACCTTTTACGCGTTCTTCAAGCAAGCCACCGAAGGGCCGAACACGACGAAGAAGCCGCCATTCTATGACATTGTCAACCGGTACAAATGGGACGCCTGGAAGAAGGTGGGAGAGATCAGCCGACAGGAGGCGATGGTCCTCTATGTCGAGGAGCTGAAAAAAGTCATTGAGACGCTCTCTATGAACGCCGAAGTCTCCGACTTTTTGGACATTTTGGGGCCTTTTTACGAATTTCTGCCTGAAGAAGTGACCCGCAGCAAAAGCAACAGCAACAGCAGTTCGAGTATATCTTCTCCCAGCAAGCGAGCTGACGCCTTTCAAGAGTCGCTGGACGACCAAGTGACGAGTAGGTCTTTGTGTTCCTAGAACCTTCCCCCATTTACCACCTTTGGTGACACGGCCCCGTTTTCCGACTCGCGCTTGACCGACCTTACGCCTACAACCTACTTAACCTGCTTAACCTACTTAATCAACTATAGTCGCACAACTACTGATGTGATATATTTGGGCAAAATTGGTGCACCACACACAAAGTAGCCATTACTAACAAAAGAATGAAATTAGTCCAGTGGACGCACACTTGGTCAGACATAATATAACACAAAAACTAAGCTGAATAAATTGAAACACCTCCAATGACCAATAATAAAAAAAATGAGTGTGTGTGAGTGTGTCTTCTGGCCATGTGTGTGCCCTCCTGTATGCACTTGCAACACTGCAGATGATTAGCACTGCTGTTACATCCTAAATGCTTGAATTATAATGGTTGGAAGGGGAAATTAAATTGTCGCTCTCCTCAGAGTGCATCACTACTGAAGGACGTTCACACTTCCTTCCTCACTTACTCCACACTACTCCACACTAACCAAATGTCCTGTCAGGCAGTACTAATGACAGCCCCAATTATTAGTTTTTAATCCGCAATGTCGATTGATCAATTCATTTGTCTAATTAGCCATCTTTTTCCTCTTTCCCCAATGCAGCTTCAATGCAGGCACAGTTTTGCACCTATGACAGTGAAGGTGATGAGTTTGCGGACACTGTTGACTTTACTTCGCCCAAGGTTTGCCCATTCTCCTCAGCACTCCCCTCACAACAGTTTCACTCATTGTTTTCTTTGTTTCTTCTCAACTTCACCCGCAGAGTGACAAAATACCTGTGATCCTGCAAAACGGCAGCATTTCAAAGCAGTTCAGTACGACAGCTAACAACTGTAAAACAAACGAAGTTGCGACGGCGACGGCGACCAACCTCAATGGACTCAAGTCGGTGGAAAGTAAAGGAGGCAGTGGTAAGAGAGTAAAGCACATCGAGTGTTCTGTTGTTTCTGTCACATCATCATCATCTTCACCGCTAATTATCGTCTTTTCCTCGACGCTGTTCTGCTTTTTTCTCGTTTGCCTCTTTTTTTCTTGCAGCTTCACGCAAAGTGGCAAATGGGCCAAGTGTGCAAACAACGCTGGCCTCCAGTCACTCCAATTGTGCAATTAGCTATGGCAACTCTGGCTCTGCCACTGATCACTCGCTCGGATTTAACGAACAGCTGACGATGGCGGTGTTCAAGCTGCAGCACAGTCTGGACCGGGTCGTCAACCGGATCGATGCCCTCGAGAGCGTGCTCACGCTGCAGTCGGTAAGTGAACAGGATCGATTCAATTTGAGCAGTTCGATTTGAGCCCAATTGGCTTTCAATTGGACTGCTGCTGCTGCTCAGTTACATTACTGACTCACCCGGTGATTGCCTACTGTTGCAGAAATGTCTTCGCGAGCAGGACCGTTCCACGCGACCGAGTGCCATTTCCAAATGGCTCTTTCCAGAGTTGAGTGGCAGGACGACGGCCTTTGTGATAGCCTGGCCGCTCGTGCTCTTCCTCGCGTTGCACTACGTCAAGCAGATACGCAAAAAGTGAACACTTCATCATCATCATCAGGTTTCAGGCTAACAAGAGCAGACTACCATTATCACTTGGTGGATTGGCTTATACAACTGCTGCAATATGATCTGCAATATCATCAATGATACTCTCACACCCTTCTTTCACAGTCAACCTTTTATATCATTCATTTTTCCTCTGGTCGCCTGAGATGCAGCTTTACTGTAACTTATTTTTTAATGGTTCGGTACGCAATATAAAATACTTTTATGATGTTCTGACAAAGTTCACAATGACGACAGCAGTATTAGCAATTTAGAAAATCAGTGATAAATAGAAAGAGTGATGGCCTTTCACTTTTTGAGTTTGCTTTGTACTTGAAACACTGAATGAGATAGATAGAGGGGGAGAGAGGGCTGAAGGGAAGAAAGAACTAAAAAGAAAGAAAGTCAGGATGTCCTGCTGGCTGAATGAAGTTAATCTTAAAATCAATTCGTTGTTTCTAAGAGCTGTAAGCTCCTTATCACAGTACCAGAGACTGGAGTCCACGACGACGTGCAAGAGCCGTAGACCACATCTAAGCTGCACTTTCCTTAGTCGGTGCTTCAGTGCATCTCAATGCTTGACGCCCACTTCCCACTGCGAGTTGCCGTTGTTGGTCATGCCATGGTTGACGCTGCCTGAGCTCCAGTCGTGTGTCCCCAGAATGGAGGTGTAGTGCTTGCTGGAGGTCTTGTTGAAGACGGGAAGCAGCTCGTTGGCCTCACTGGACAGCACCTTCAGGTACACTATTGCGTCAGTGCCGTAGCCCTCCATTGAGGAGACCACCAGGTCACCGTGGAGGTACCTGGCGTAGAGGCGCGATATGGGCAGGCCGTAGCCGTAGCCGGCCAAGGGTGCCGAGTTCTGCCCTGAAGCCGATGGCTTGGGCGCCGTCGAATACATGTAGTGGAAGAGAATGTCTCGCAGCGAGCGAGGTATCCCACCTCCCTTATCGGAAATCTGCAAACACAGAAGAGAACACCTGTTAGCAGTGAACGGCTTAAAGAAATTGAGCTACCGCTACCTTAATGGTAAGATCCTCTTTGGCATTGACGATGGTGATTTTAATAGGCGGCACAGAGTCGCCTTCCCCGTGCAGCTCCACTACAGCGCGCATGGCGTTTTTAAAGAGCTCGAAAAGGATGTGATACAGGTGAGACGGCGTGTACACGATTGTGACTGGTGCTTCAGGATTTTGAGCTACATGCAGAAGAAGTAGTAGTAGATGATGGCTATAAATGAATTGGCGATCGGGGTTTTCCTGTAACTTACAGTTTAGCTGTTCGATATCCAACTCAGGAGAAGTCAGGTAGTACTGGTCACAAAGAAATCGAGCATTGTCATAGGCGTCCAGGGCCACTGCCTTTACGTTACACTGGCGCAGGAAAGAAAGGTAATGAAGAGCAGCGGTTAGATAAACAGGAAATTTTAAACAGATAAAAAAGTACATACATTTGGGTCAATGACGCCAATGTGGCGCGGATTGTTGGCCGCCAAATCAGAGCCAAAGAGAGCTGCGTGCTGGTTGATGAGCATTCGAATAGAGATGCGACTCATGTAGAATCGGTTCAAGAAGTACTGAATACAGTGCTCCGTTTGCTGATCCAGATTGTGGGTCTGCTTCAGCTCGATAATTCCCTGAGCCATCGTCTCGACGACGCTACTGTGCCTGTTGCGGATTTTAACTAATGTATCGCAAAAATTCTCCAGTGCCTTGGGCGAGTCGGCATCCCCTTTTTCAAATGTGAGAATTTCCTGAAAGCTGCGTTCATACCAACTTTGAACAAGCTCCACTGATGGCATCCGAAGAAGCTTATTCGGCAGCAAATGCAACTCTGACATAATGTTTGCAAGCCGGACGGGCAGCTCCTTGCGGAGAAATATAAATGAAGTTGCCTCATTTGCTTCCTTGCCTGGTGTAAACAATTTAATGTTAGCGGTCGGACAGGTTGAACAACCACAACAGCAAAACATACCAAAAGTGAGAAATTTTTCTATTGACAAAGGTGAAGGGTTGAATCGAGAGTAGTAGTCGATATGTTTGAGGACTTCACGATGCAAAATTCGAGTGATGCGCATCTTTCAATTTATGAGGTACACAACAAACTGTACACGGTGATAAGGCTGATGACGGTGACGTCGGCGCTTAGAATGAGATTAATTCTGCGACGATAAGACACTGTAGGCTTCTATATAAAAGAAATTAAATCAATGCTTGTAAGCGGTAATCGAAGTCGATGAGAGAAAGAGAGAAAGTGAGGTGAGCTGCACAGTGGGGACACAACCACAGGTTCATTCTGAGAAAAAGCGGGCAAATATGAAAGCGGCTTTGATGTGTGATTCAGGTCGGAATAAGGGAGGAATAATGGGCTAAAGTACAGTACATCGGATGCAGGTCTAACACAATACAGTACAGTGGAGCTGTACGGTGAGTGTGGCTTCGAGTGCGAGTTGATGATGATAATAATAGTAGAAAATGAGGTAACAAGACAACAGACGTCGACGTGCTTTTGCGGCTGGCAACATAAAAACACAAAGTTAANCTTCGAGTGCGAGTTGATGATGATAATAATAGTAGAAAATGAGGTAACAAGACAACAGACGTCGACGTGCTTTTGCGGCTGGCAACATCAAAACACAAAGTTAAACACACACACACACACACACCATACACACAGCCGTAGAGACTGAGGAGGCAGGCTCAGGCAGACTGACGTTGCCTGCTAGCAAATGCTCGGTGATCCTCAATGCCAACCCCTTGCAAAAAGTACATTCGTATCTGACACACACAACTTGTCGAGATTGCCAGCTGACGCTACTGGTACCGGGAAACATCCCTCGCACAACGAGGACTGGCCCAGCAGAGGGAGCACTACCAGTGCCCAGTGCACTACCAGGACCAGACTGCTTCAGAGCGCAATGACAGCGGGCGGGAAAGAGGTCGCCCAAGTGGAAATATTATACCGCTAAAATCATCACGGGTACTGGCGGCACTGTGCAGTGAGCGGTGTACAGTACACTGTAAAGTATAAGTGTGTGTGTATAGCAAAGAAGAAAAATGAAGAATAGTTAAGCAATCCGTCAATGGAGTCGCACAGTAATGGCTGCTGCTGCTGGTGTTGGTGCTCCCAGTGCAAGGGCGCCCACAATCGCTCCAACCGGCATTCTCCGTCATTATTCGCTTGAAACCGGCGTCGATCGATAGTGGAGTGTTCAAAGTTCAAAGCCATCAAGTCGAGCTCACTGGCAATGATGGACACAGTCACGTCAGTGTACCGCGATCAATGCAGTTTATTTTGTTTTTGCTTTTTCTTAAAAACTGGAACTATTACAATTCACTTGGCAGAAAACAACTCCAGCTGATTTCAGAGGGAATTGTTTCTCCTAATTAAGATGATATTTATTGAGCGTATATATCCGTGGCAACTCTGGTCGATCACAGAAAGCTGCAGAAGTACTCATCCTGTGATCCACCTTAGCTGGCACATGTGCGTCGGTGCACTGGCTAGTGACACTAATGACGGAGTATGGTCTCTCAGCAAACAATAAACAGGTGATCAAGGCGCACAATTCAAGTTGAGGGATCAGAAACTGATGAGCAATATTCAATCTGTCGGGCACTGAACAATCCGTGTACAGTTGAGGGCAAGAGAGTTTATTACTGAACAAGCATGCGTGTGAAAGAAAAGTTGTAATAAGCCAACACGAGTTTAATAAAAGTATCAAGTGTATCAAATGCGGTAGAAAAAAAATTGAAAGATACCTAGTAAATCGGTTCAAGAAGGTGCGTTTGCCAGAGAAAAAATAAGCTTTCAGTTGGAATTGTTTTTCAAAGCTTGGTACTTATTATCAGTTGAAATGGATTCATTGGCAGAGGCACCAGGTCTGGGGGGCCCAGCGGTTCGAACAGTTTGAAAGCCTTTCAGTTCTTCGTAAGCCTCAGAGGGGGTGCCAAGATCGGGAAATTCAACCGTGTCATTGATCTTGATTTGATTGCGATTGCGAAAAAGAGACACTAAGTCTGAGTCAGCTTTTGCAGGCTGAGCGGCCGGAGCAGCTTCCTGCTCTTCGCCGCCCTCTTTCCATGCCGGAAGGGCTTGCTCCTTCTTGGTAGACTCCTCTTCCTCTCTTTGCACCTCCTCTTTGTCCCTGGAAGATGAATAGGTGATTAAAATGATAAATGTTCTAGTTAAAAGCCAAACATACTTCATGCTCAACGTTTGAATCTTAAGACCCGAATAGTCTTTGCTTTCATCATCATTAAAATCGTTCCACTCGGCTTCAGCGTCCTGCGTAAAGTGAAAAGGGTACGTTTTAGTGATGAGGGAAACACGGTAAAACATTGGTGAAAACTCGTCAGGGATTACCTGAACATAATTATCAAAATTTACATATTTCCTTGCTTTGATCTTGTCGCCGGTAGTATCGCCGCTAGACTTTTCATCAAACTTCTTCTCCAGATCATCGTTGGACAAGCCCTTCTTCTTGACGGTCTTATTCTTGCCCTTCTTGTCCTTCTTGGCGAAGAAATCATCTAGATCACTCATGGTGCTGAAGGGGATAAACAAAGGAAAGGTGATGAGACACGTAGTTCAGGGGTAGAAGAGTGCGCTGCAGCGCCCAGAGTGAACCGTGGCAAAGTGCAATGTGCTCTGTGTCCGGCGTGGCACGTTGTCGCAAGCACAACCCGAAGCCGGCACCCGGGCGCATGGGCGTCAGTGTGATGAAGGCGCCGGTGTAGTGGGCAACTTACGGTGATGCAATCGACCGCTCTGGATCGCCGATGGTCTGGATCGCGATGCTGGTGGTAGCTCGTTGCTTGTTTGCCTCTCTTCTTTCTTTGCCACTTGTGAAATGTGCAATGTGTGAGTGCGTACTCGGAAGAAGCAGAGAGCAGCAGCAGCAGCAGAGGCTGTAACAACATCAGCAACATCAGCAGCATCAACAGCAGCGCCACTGCTGCAGCGTCGACCGCCAAATTGATCGAGAAAGCGCGAGAGATAGAGGAAGAAAACTAGTGACAACTGACCGGCCTCTTGGGGGTTCTTCTCTCTGAAGATGGCATTCTAAACTAGGCACTAGGTTCACAACGATTCTGTCATCTACAGGCTTTTATTTGCTTTTAACAGCATCGTCGCTTAGTGACTATAAATTGCACAGGAGGCACATGTGGCTTATATCATACATAGCGCAAAGGTAGCAGTATAGTAATATGTGTTTTGTCATGGTTTTTGTACATTTCGTCGGAGTATTCAGCAGCAGGTGTTTGTGCGTGTCGGCATCCTCCTCGATGTTCAGTTCATTCCTTCATTCAGTCCTTCTTTTTACTTATTTCACTTTTGCCATTTCTGGACATATCGTTCTTTGCATTTCCATTTTCACCGGCATTTCTCGCTGCAAAATTGTATAAAACAAGATTGTTGTGAGATTTTTGCTAAAAAAGGCCCCTAATGATTTACCATTTATAAAGTTGGCGAGTGTGTCCCAAACGCCGCCAAAGAACAAGGCGCAGACGAGGTTCTCAAATGGCAGGAAAGGATCGTGGATACCGAGAAGCATGGAGGACAGCTTGAAGTAGATGAAGAAAANCAAACTCCGCCAAAGAACAAGGCGCAGACGAGGTTCTCAAATGGCAGGAAAGGATCGTGGATACCGAGAAGCATAGAGGACAGCTTGAAGTAGATGAAGAAAATTACAATGCCCAGGTAAACTAAAGAATGTGGCGCAGAAATCAGGTCTGTCTTCTTGTCGAGGATGAAGATGATCGAGGCACCAATACTGGCCTTGGTTGCGCTGTAAACGAAAAATCAAATCAAAATTAGCATCTCCCCTGAGAGTGCAAGTGCACTTACAATGAGGGCTGCAAGAACTCAATAGAGTTAGGCATCCAAACGCCTCTGAGACACCTCTCGATGATCTTAACCAGAGAAGCACCATTACCTAGTGAAATCAAGTGTATGATTACCAAAAAGTATGACTGTGGTGCAATGATGCAAACCTTTCACAGTGCCGATGATGACCATAATGAGGTGCGAATTTGGGTACAGCTGAGCGGCATGTCCGACGCCATCGTTGATCTTCTTACAGCGAATGACCTCCTTCATAATGGCAATCACCACTTTGATTGGCAGAAACTTGCATATTTTGTAGACAATGTCAAAGGGTGAGTAGAAGATCAGGTACCTGAAACAGTCCTTGCATTAGCATTGCATCATTTCTCTGTTAACAACAGACAGCATACCAGACAGCAGTTCCAAGAATGACGTGGTTGGTGCTTTTGAATGCCTCCACGATGGGCTCACCAAGCAGAAACCCGGAGAGTATGTTGCCCGCAAAAGCAGAGAACATGCAGGAAATCCAACAAGCAAGGGGGTGCTTCCGCGAGAACGCATGATGTCCTGAAAGTGGAATGTAAGTTTGTCAGGCACAATTCCGTTTGTTTTCAGACTCCGACACATACCAGTGGATAGATCTTCGCGCAGATAGAGGCACGTCACGACAAAGTGGGCAATGTCAAAGTAGGGGAACATCTTGAGCTTGGTCAGCTCATTGGAGACCTCGAGGAAGATCATCGGATCCATGGTGAAGCGGTGGTGGAGGTGGTGGTGGGCGGCCTAGTGCCAGTCGACCACTTGTGGGTACGTTGGTGTGTGTCAGGCAGCTGTGTGGCAGGCAGAAACCAGGGAACTGTCTAGCACTGCATTCCCGCAGCCGAATACTTCTGCACGACGAGGTCGAGAAGGCACATGTAGGTTATTATTAGCTGCAAGCAAAGAATCCCGACACTCTCGCGCCAATGCCAATTCGCTCACCATGTATCCCCTTCTACCACTTCTTTTCTCTGCGTACGAGAGAGCGAGAGTCTGGTCGTCTATTTTTTGGCGAGTCTCGCTTGTCGCCACCTATCAACTGGCACCTTAGTGAATGCGAATCTCATTATGACTCGCTGATTGCCAGTCGCCCGTGCCAGAGACGCTGCTTGGCTGCCTCTGGGGTGGGTAAGGCAAAGACAGGCCAGGTTTTCAGTGGTTGACGCAAAAGACAGCTCCATTGATAGCTCCTTTGACGCAAAGAGAGCTAGCCGCCGATAAGTCGCTCTGATTGGACATAAGCACGTCCGACCATTGATCATTGTTTGATATGGCGATCCAAACTAATAGACAGCTGTAAAATGAGCCGCGGAATTTCTGGTAAAAAAATTATGCCGAGACTCAGAACATGAAAAGTAGAGGACTAGAATAGAGGGGCCATATGCGCTTGGCCTGGTTCGGATTTTTTGGCCAATCAAAACAAAAATAAAAAAATGTAACTGCAGATAAAGTCGGTAGAGGACAGCACAGGACATGCAGGATTGTGTCTGACTATTTTCACTTCCAAGTTGTGGTACTGTGAAAACGGTGGTCGCTTGTTCCCTTACGGAAGCTTGCGCCTCGTGTCTTTCTTTTGGCTTCAGCCTCTGCATTTTGTCGTGCAACTGATTTTTTAATCACACTGGTAGAGCGATCCAAAAGCTCATCCACACTACAAAATGCCTCCCAAATTCGACCCAACTGAGATTAAGATCGGTATGTATGCGGTAATGTGCCCGATCAGCCTGTTTACAACTTTTTCCCCCTTGTTTTCAGTGTACCTGCGAGCCATCGGCGGTGAGGTAGGTGCCACATCATCTCTTGCCCCCAAGATCGGTCCCCTCGGTCTGTCGCCAAAGAAGGTCGGTGATGATATCGCCAAGGCCACCTCTGACTGGAAGGGCCTGAAGATCACCTGCAAGCTGATTATCCAGAACCGTCAGGCCACCATCGAGGTGGTGCCATCGGCTGCTTCGCTGATCATCAAGGCTCTGAAGGAGCCGGCCCGTGACCGAAAGAAGGTCAAGAACATCAAGCACAACGGCAACATTACCCTCGATGAGGTTATCAAGATTGCCCGCACCATGCGCCCTCGCAGTATGGCCCGCAAGTTGGAAGGTAAGCCCATTTAAAGCACTCTTTTGATTAACACTAACACCACCACTACTTTCAATCAACTCAGGCACCGTCAAGGAGATTCTCGGAACCGCTTGCTCCGTCGGCTGCACCATCGACGGCTCCAACCCACAAGATGTGATCCAGAAGATCAGAGATGGCGATTTGGAGATCCCGGAAGAGTAAACTCTCTTTATTTTGAATAAAATGCATCGTATTTTGAATGAAATACACAAAATCATTCTGTGTCGGTTTTATGTTTTGCTGCCAAATTCAGCTGCTAATGGGGCTTTATGAAGAGGAAAAGAGGGCTGCCTTTCTACCAGATGCCACTGGATCGTCCACCAGGCGGGTTGTGAACTCGAATACTGGACTTGCCCACCTTGTCGTCGTCAATCTGCTGTCCGTTCAGGTTGAAGGATGAGTCCTGGTGGGCGAACATCCATTAGTGGTGGTAATCAACAGAACTGTCCGTGCTCTCAAGAGAAGCTCTCTCCCTTACCTGCAGATTGCGCACTCCACTGCGAGTGGACCCCTTGTAGAAGGCAGTTGGACTTACTTCCTGACTGTCGTGCACCGACATGGCCGCCAGTGTATTCAGGTCACTCAGCTTGGGCTGTTCACTGTTGCCGTTCACTGGTTGACTGGGGGCTGCCCCAGCCGCAGCACCACCAGAAATGGCAGCAGCTGCAGCAGTCGAAGGTGCGGCCAGTGCCGGCGGAGCGGCCTCATTGACCGGCGCCTTGCCACTTCGGTCCACCTTGATGGGTCCATTCTTGGCTCTGGTGTTGATGACCCCATAGAGGTAGGGGGAGCTGGGCGGGCAGCTCAGCAGACGACCGGCTCCCTGGGTGACGTGGAAGCCGCTCTCGTCGAGCACCACCTTTCCATTGCTGATGACCACCTGGGGACCGCTGCTGACGTGCATTCCCTCAAAGATGTTAAAGTCCACATTGGAGTGATGCGTCTTCGCGGAGATGGTCTGACTCTTCGGACCCCAGATGACAATGTCCGCGTCGGAGCCCTTCGCCAGACGACCCTTTCGCGGGTAAATGTTAAAGTACTTGGCGGCATTGGTGCTGGTCACCGCCACAAACTGCTTCACATCGAGGACGCCCGTCTTGACCGCCTTCTCCCAGAGAATGAGCAGTCGCTCCTCCACGCCGTTGACTCCATTGGGAATCTTGGAGAAGTCTTTAGCGCCCATCTCCTTCTGTTCAGTGCTGAAGGTGCAGTGGTCAGAGCCGGTGGTCTGCAGCTGCCCCGACGCCAGCAGGTGGATCAGGTGCTCCGAGGTAGTCTGGTCGAGGCGGAGCGGCGGCGAGAGGACGTGCGCCGCGGCCACTCTCCAGTTGCGATCAAAGTAGTGCGAGCCGTCGGTGCCAAAGCCAGCGGTGATTGACTCGCCCAAGACGAGGCAGCCTCGGTTGCGGGCACTGGCGAGCACGTCGGCGGCAGAGCGACTCATGACGTGCACCACGTACAGTGGGCAGTTGACTTGGTTCGCCAGGACAATGGCTC